GTACTTTTACTCAAGTACGGAAAGTGAGTACTTTTGCCATCTCTGCCAGTTTGATATAACACAATTTCAAACAATATATATAATTAGGGGGTCCCCGCTTCATCTCGCCATCAGTTTGGGGGTCCTTAGCCTGGAAAACGTTGAAGACACCTGATATAAGGGGGGAAAAAAAATCAAAAACTTTATTTTAAGTTTGACTGCACTAAAGGAGGATTTAGGGCTTTGAAAAGTCAAATAAGAGCCAGAACCAGCTTTGCTAAGGGGTCTAAAGAAGAATCTTTAAGCCACGTCCACAGAGCTTCTGTAACAGTGAGAGCAGGAGGGTTTAGGTGGGGAGTGTTCAAAGTGCAGCCCACAGGTCATACTAGAAAAAAACAAAACCAACCCATATCCAGTTGTTGAGCAAAGCTTATAAAAAGGAAACCCAACATTTTTAGAAATGACCTGCCCATCTTTCAGCTGGACCTTTTTTTTGTCTCAGATCACCCAGACTTCATGTGGCTAACATTTCCATTTCTGCAGGCGTTTCTAAAATCTTTACGTTTTTGGCCCCATTAATATTTTCGACCTTGGCCTACGTTTTAAGAGGTTTGGAGGTCCCTGGTTTAAGTGGATTTAATCCCACATTGATGCAAAGACGTTGTACAGACTCACCCATGGCTGAGAAAAAAATTATTAGAGACTGGACCTTTGTGGGAAGGTTAAAGAAGGAAAATAGAATACCAGTCAACTAATAATGAACACTGAGTCATGCCAACAGTGAACCATCCTGACGCTCAGAGGTTGTGTCTCAGTCCTAATCTCAGCTCTGTACAGAGCAGTTATTGGTGACAATGATGCCTAAATACTAAAATTCCTCTGGCCTTGCCTTCCACTCAAAGGGAACGCCTTTCTCTGGGTGAGCTCCTTCCTCTGAGGACGAGATGGTTCATTTAGTTGACCTGTTTCAAGTGAAGACGTTAAACTTTCTAGTGGTCAGCTGTAGTCTTGGGTTTAGAGGTCGCCTATAGAGGCCTGCAGAAAACGATCAAGGTCTATGTTCTTTTTGTCACTATTTTCTACTATGGTTCACTGGCTTCCTAAACCTTAGAAAGGATTTTCTAGTTAAATATTTGAAAATTGCTCTTGCTATGATGATCTGAGTGAAGATCTGATGTTCAGTTTGTCCTGATAGCTCCTCGTGTCCATCTCAATTGTTCTGATGGAAACTGGTGAGATTAACTTTCAGTTATGTGATCCGGATGTTAGACTGTAACAGGAGTGTTAAGATCAAGAATTTAAAAATAAAATGCATTTTGTGCTTCCGTGGCCTTGTTTTTTTTTTTAAAGTTATTTTTCTTGCTGTATTGATATATATATCTATATAGATATATATATCTATATAGATATATATAT